TTAACTAGAAGCGCCGGAGATAATCCTTCTACGGAAATAATTATGATCTATTAAAAATAATGGACTGTACTTGTCTCGTGAATTAAAACGTTGTCAATGTGAACATAAAAAATTAATGCAGATAATTGCAGGGACATAATAAAAATTCTACTTTTTAAGTCATTACGATATATATCGGAGACAATAATTGGTATATGACTATATATATATATATATACATTTTCTGCGATATATAATAAAGATGTCAAATATTCATTCGGGGGGGGGGGGAGGGTTTCCATGTGTATGTGTGTTTTTAATTATAGATTATACTCTTACTAAAACAATAATTGCATTCTAATTAAAAGTTTTATTATGATACAAATTTCTCTTTAAAACTTTCCTCGGTATTATATTATTATTATCGATAATAATCTTTAGTCTTTTTATCAAATATTTACACCTTTTCAATAAAAATTTATTTTTTAAAAAAAACTTTTATACGCGAATAAAATCTTTTTTTAATTAAAAAATCCATTTTTTTAAACTTTTTTTCTTTTAGTTAAATATTTTGTTTTTTTAACACTACCCTTTGAAAACTGTTTTATTTTTTAAAAAGCGTATAAATATTTAATAAAAAAAAAAAAAAAAAAAAAATGCTTACAAACTCTTTTAGAAAGTGTTTGAGGTTTTGTCGGTTATTTTTATGACTGGAGAGAGACCAACACACACAATAGATGCCTTTTTTATTTTCCTTTGTTTTTTCTAAATTTATATCTCTCGTGTTACACGATATACCTTCGCTATATTCTTTATCTTTTATAACCTTGTTATTGGTAATTTCAAAATTTTTGCTTGACACTAATGAAAGAAATGAATACTTTATTGTTTTTTCTGTAACATAATATATAATATAAATACACATACACTTTCAGTGAATTTTAATTGTATTATGTAAATTATATTTAATTAAACGTTGAAAGCCTCCGAAAAAAAATATTTGAAAAATAAAAAAGTTACTTACTAATTATCTGACAAATTAAATAGAAAATAATATCCGACAAAAAGCAAATGAAAATTATTACATTTAAATTGCGACAAATTTGCAGTTTTAATTTAAATGATAAAAAAAGTTGTTAAAAAATTAAAATCGTTAATTAAAAAAAAAGTATATAAAATAAAAATTTATTTTTTTTTTCGTTTTAATGATTAATTGATGAAAACGAGCAGAATAAACTTTCTCATTATTATATATATATATATATATATATATATATACGAGGAATATCAATTGAAATTTATGTTAAATATTTACCGGAGTGTATGTATTTAATCTATAACGTATGGAAAATAGAATCCTCGTGGGGTACATTGGAAATTGTGTAACTCGATTTGTGTTTGGTATAACATTTGTAGATGCATAATTGCGCCTGAAATTATCGACGATAATTTCCAATGAAAAAGGGTGTTTATTTGTCATTAACAGGGTAGAAATGTCAAACATTATATGAACTCGCAAATTATATCTTAATGCACTATATGCGCCCTTTCATTCTAATTACATTTATGTATATAATAAATTCTGATATTATTTCAATATTTTTAAATTCAGGCAAAAAAAATTTTCACCTAAAAGATAAGTTTCTCTGGAACAGCGATATATTTTTCTTCAATAGCAAAAACTTTTCCTATTTTTAGTAAAATATATCGCTGTTGTAAGTGAAAACTTTTTTTCCGTATCTTATTTAACAAAAAAAAAATTTTTTTAATTGTAATTATAATTGATAAACATTTTTTTGATAGTAAAATTTTTTTAACTGACGTGAAGAATCGAACCCTAGACCACCATAGAAATGGGAATCGAATGCAAATCCACGCAGCTACGATTACTTTTAATAATAAAACTGTTTTGAGCAGTTTTTTTTTATCCTCTTTAGAAAAAGTTTTTAATCTATTTTCGAAACTTTTTAATCCTTTATTTGAAATTATGTACTTTTAATGCATAGAAAAGAAAAAAATTGCCAAGAAAAAATTATGAATGTGTTAAATCTAATTGTGTGCGCGCTGCGGGAAAATAGTTTGAAAAAAAAAATGGAAAATAATCTCATCATATTTGACTGTACGTCTTTTGCAATGGGGGCGAATCCTGTTTCATTAAAATCGTTTTAGGTACTTAATATCCGGTTTTCTACTTGAAAAAGCACCGTGAAAGGCTTTCTTTGAAGGATTTCTCCTCAAATTTTTATTCGAATCTCTCACTTCCTCTTTTTCTCTTTTTCTCTCTTACTCTATCACTCTCTCTCTCTCACTCTTTATACCCTTTGAGAAATTCAGTGGGATTTCACACGACCTTTATCACAATGTCAAGATATCAGGATGTAAGATATATATATATATATATATATATATATATATATATATATATATATAGATGGTTATGTATATAACATAGATATCAGAAATCACTCGAATACTAATACGAATTCTTTGTCGAAAGAGAAAATAAATTCTAGGTCTTCTTTGGGAAATATTCTCCGGAGGTTGTGCTCTTCAAGTCTCACGAATATTCTTTTCTTCAACCTACACGCATCTTCGTCTATCCTTTAGATAGATAGAAAAAAAACGATTTTTCTTTTTCTTTTCAATGGAAATAAATAAAAAATGAAAAATAATAGAAATATAAAAAATTAAAAGCATAAAAAATTATTATTATTATTATTAATTTACATGATTTATTTATTATTTATTTATATTTTAAATTTTTATAATTATTAATAATTTATTTATTTATATATATATAAATAAATAAATTATTAATAATTATAAAAATTTTTGTAAAAATTTTTTACCATCTACCTAAATAAATATATTTATTTAGGTAGATGGTAAAAAATTTTGAAAAATAAAAATATAAAAATTACCGACCTAGAAATCTACTTTACCGACTGATGGTAAAACAGATTTTTGAAAAAATGAAAATATAAAAAATTACTGACATAGAAATCTACCTTACCGACTGACGGTAAAACAGATTTTTTTGAAAAATGAAAATATGAAAAATTACCGACATAGAAATCTGCCTTACCGACTGGTGGTAAATTTTTGGAAAATAAAAAATTACCGATTTAGAAATCTACCTTACCGACTGACGGTAAAACAGATTTTTTAAAAAATGAAAATATAAAAAATTATCGACATAGAAATCTGCCTTACCGACTGCTGGTAAATTTTTGGAAAATAAAAATAAAAAATTACCGATCTAGAAATCTATCTTACCGACTGACGGTAAAACAGATTTGTTGAAAAATGAAAATATAAAAAATTACCGACATAGAAATCTATCTTACCGACTGATAGTAAAACAGATTAAAAAATGGAAATATAAAAAATTACCGACATAGAAATCTACCTTACCGACTGATAGTAAAACAGATTAAAAAATGGAAATATAAAAAATTACCGACATAGAAATCTACCTTACCGACTGATAATAAAAAATTCCTAGAGTTTCTTCAAAAAATTTATTATCAGTCGGTAAAGTAGATTTCTGTGTCGGTAATTTTTTATATTTTCGTTTTTAAAAAAAATCTGTTTTACCATCAGTCGATAAGGCATATTTCTGTGTCGGTAATTTTTATATATTCATTTTCCATAAAGCTGTTTTACTATCAGTCGGTAAGGTAGATTTCTGTTTCGGTAAATTTTTATATTTTCATTTTCCAAAAAATCTGTTTTACCGTCAGTCGGTAATGTAGATTTTTAGGTCGGTAATTTTAATATCTTTAATTTTTAAAAAATATTGTTTTACTATCAGTCGGTAATGTAGATTTCTATGTCGGTAATTTTTACAAATATTTTTCCTTTTGCTGTAAGAATTTTCATTATTATTATATGACAAAATAAATAAATACATAAATATAATATTATAATAGAAAAAAAATCAAAAGCAAAAATAAAAAAATTTTATTTTGCAATTTTCATTAATTTTGAATAGTAAAAACAATTGTGTTACATGTAACGTGAAAAAATAATAATGTAAACAGAAATGAAATTCATTTGATGCAATTAAACTTTAATATAATTACATGTTATTGTTCTCTTGGATTTATATTCGTTTCATATATATATATTTCTTGACATATTAATATTTGTTTTCAAAAAAATATAATTTACTGATTTCTGATATTGTTTATAATTTAATTGTATACATATACATATACAATTAAATTATAAAACATATAATTTTGTAAATTAATTATTTTGTAAAATTCTTGACACATGTATATATATATCGTGTACTAAATTCCAATTTAAAATTAAACTTTATTCAAATCTGCCCGCGGACATCACATGAATAAGTGAAATATATTTCAAGTAAATTTTCGTCTAGATGTATATAGTTTAATATTCTGGAGAATGTGAGCAGTATTTTCTGTGGTATTTCTTTTATATATGTATATATATATATGTATCGTATGAAAAGAATTCTCTGTAAATTTATCTTTTGAAATATGTACTCTCTCTTGGTGCGAGCCTATGTGCAACTGTCTCAACCACCACTCAGCTAATGAAGGGACAAAATTAACACACAAACATGTTTATATATATATATATACGTATATACATATAACACATTCATTCCTCGTCCTCTGAAAAGCGTTCACGTTGTGCATTCTTTCACAGTTTCTCTCTTTCTTTTTTTTTCTTTTGAAAAATTGTTTCTCGAGTGGAAAGTGAATAAAGTTACCAGCAAGCTTTACTATACTACAACAACAAGAACTACCACTACTACTATTACAATGCAATGGTTTGCTTTCGCTCGATAATTCATCGTCATGACGACGACAAACAGATCCCCATAGTTTCGCGCTCAGTTTCATGTTCAATCATATCTTGTCAGATGATTATCCGTAAGATATAACCTATATTTTCTCTTTTTTAAAAAAAAAAAAAAAAAAAAAAAAAAATAACGTTTGTTTTGTTTTTTTTTTTTAAATTCTATACTTCTTCAAACGGGCATGTAATAACTTTTTCAATTTCTGGTAACTTTTATATATATATAAAAAAAAGGAGAAGGAAAGTATTCTCTTTTTTTCTTCTTCTCTTTCTCTCTATCTCTCGCATTTCTGTATTGATGTTTAGTGAAAAGAAAGTCAAACAATTACGAAACCATCTAGAATCCAATCTCGAGGTAAACAATATTTTTACCTTCTAAAGATTAAAGATTTCTTTTCGTTTTTCTATTGTAAATAATCTAAAGGATCTTTTTAGTCCCTTGGAGAAAGATAAAGTTCTACTCTTTGTATATATATATATATATGAGGAGTTCAAGTGAAACTGGAAAATACTTTTTTTAATCGGTTATTTTCTTGAGGAGGGTAAATTTTATTATATTATAAAGAATAGAAATGATATTGAAACAGAAACTTTTTTTTCAAGTTTTATTTATTGTTCTATTTATTATTTTTTAATTTTGGTATTTTTTATCATGTTTTGAAAATTTATTTTTATACTATTGTATCATTAATATTGTAATTACCATTGATTGTAACTACCATATATTGTAACTATATTTTTTTTATACTAGATTCGGTTGTAATTCTACCATTTATTTCCCACCAAGTAACATTAAATTACCGTATATTGATTACAATTATCATTAATTGTAAGAATAATTTATCGATTAGAATTATAATTAATTTTTATCATTAACGTAGATAGCTATCAATTTTTTTAAATATATATTGCTCCCCTTTGTAATTTTTTTTATGTAATTAACGCTTATTTACTTTCTTGAAAAAAATTCTTTCACTGCCGGGGATTGAACGCACGACCCTAACATACTCACAAGTCGAGAACCTAACCACGAAGCAAGATTACATTATCGATAAGATAACAATTAATTTTACTAATGCATTGTAGTTTTGTTTCTTACATTTATGCTTCAAATACTATACACAAAATATGCTTAAAAAAAATTATTCTATTATTATTTATATTATAATAATTATAATTGTAATAAATTATTTATACAACTTTTAGTAGGTATTTACATTGATTTTTAAACTCTTATATTATATAATGGAAAAAAATTTATTTAATTAAAATACTCGATTATTTGAGTATTATCAAATAAATATTTACTCGAACTAAATAATTTTTTAAATCAATTAAATCTTATTTCTTTCAAATACAAAAATTATTGGTAATAAAAAAATTTTCTATATCAAAAAAGAAATTAATAAAAAGAATAATATTAAAAAAAAAAAGAATGAAAGCAACTTTAAATAATTTCACAGTTAAAAAAGTTATTTTTCAATAATCTGAAAATATATTCAATTTCAATTAATTTTTTTTTTAATATCACACGAATAATAAAGAGAGAGAGAGAGAGATATGCTGGATACGGATATCCCATTATAAAAGTTTGTGGTTACAAAGTGTATATAGACTCTTTAAATAGACGGGAGTATAATTTTCTGATAAAGAATATTGAGAAGGGTATTTGCAAGGCAATATTTCCGACTTCTAGAGTGACACCAGGCAATTAGAATATATTAGAATAATCAAAAGGTCGAAAGCAAGTAACGCCCTCGTTGAGGCCGTGACCCTTTCTCTCTCTCTCTCTTTCTCTTTCACCCCCAAAGTGACAAGGGGGATGGATTCCTGTGGGAGCACGCAGCTGGGAATTTGAACTCCGGGAACCTCTCGTTGAAAATTCCAAGCCATGGTATATCCCATGGGAGAGACCCATTCTCCTATTACTAAGGATGAAGAAGAGAAAGCAAAAAAAAAAAAAAAAGGAAAGGAGAAAAAAAAATTATAGGGTTAGAGTCCTGTTGCAGACTCGGGTTCACTAAAGCACTAAATTCTACCAAGAAATGTGACCTCTCCAGTCCTTTTACAGCCACTCTTGGTCATTATCCTGTGCTCAAATATTTAATATCACCGTTTAAACCTTCACGATTTTCTCTCTTACTTTATCTCTTTATTTCTACTCTCTTTCTCATTCGCGAAAACTCTTTCTATCACTCATCAACATAAAGTTTTGTAAATCCAAAATTCCTTGCGTGGAATGCTGCCAAAAAGTTGTGAATTTCAAGCATTTCTCCATTCTCGCATTTACATTCATTTATTTTTATTATAATGTGAAAGCACATTTTAATAAAGCTTACAATTTTTCCTTGGCTCTCTTTCTATATTTGAAAGCAAGATAAATGTCCCATTATTGTTGCCAAAGTGGGACAAATTTTTCTTCTCTTTTTGGGAATATGATTTTTAGCCTGCGATTTCAATTATTATTATTATTATTTTTATTATTACAATTATATTTATAATTATTTTATTATTAATATTACTACAATTTCAAATAATAATAAATAAATAATAAAAATATAAAAAATTACCGACCTAGAATTCTATCTTACCGACTGATAGTAAAACAGATTAAAAAATGGAAATATAAAAAATTACCGACATAGAAATCTACCTTGCCGACTGATGGTAATTTTTTTGAAGAAACTCTAGGAATGTTTTATTATCAGTCGACAAGGTAGATTTCTATGTCGGTAATTTTCTATATTTCCATTTTTTAAATCTGTCTTACTGTCAGTCGGTAAGGTAGATTTCTGTGTCGGTAATTTTAAATATTTTTATTTTTCATTGTTTCAAGAAGTATAATTTATTTAATTCAAATAAAAATTATTTGGTGCAAGTAAATATTTATTTGATAATAATCAAGTAACCAATTATTTGAATCAATTTATTTTTATCATTATATTTAATATTAATTTATTGAATTTGGGTAAAAAATTATTTATCATGATTGTAATTTAAATATTGTGATTTTTATTATATATATATTTTTTTTTATTTACAATCTATTTAATTATCTAATATTTATTAGAATTCTTTTAAAATTTGAAATTTTTTCTTATTATAAATTAATTAAAATACGTTGATATTATATAGATATCATAAATTCAAAGGACCATGAAAATTACGAGGAAGAAATAATTAAATAAACTTTAATATTTTGTTAATTTGTTGCTTTTTGGTGAAAATGAAGCTTTTAATCCAATTTACGTAATTTCAAACATGAATATATGTTTGTTAATCTAATTGCACAGTTGTAGGTTGGATGAAAAAAAAAAAAAATTTCAGTTTGAATTTTTTATTACGACAGAATTTCTGGAAATAAGTGATATATAAATTTTATCTCAACTTTAAAATTTTAAACAGTGTTTCCTCTTTTTTTTCAAATTAATTTTTTTTTTTTTAAATTAAAAATTAATATTTTTCTAAAGAATTCCTAAAAAATTAGTTTTTGTTCATTAATTTTCATTAAAAACTTTTTAAAACGCAATTAAACGTTAAATTAAATTAAACCAGATAAAATATTTTTTAAATTATGCACATTTTTGAAGTTACATTTTTTTTATATTTATTTATAATATATATTTTTTTTCAAATTTATTTTAAATTCTGATTTTAATTAAATATGTATATTTTTTCTTTTAGATTTTGTTTGTCAATTATAAAGTTGAACCAATTAAATTCTTACACTGTTAGTACGTTGTTCTTTTATTTGTTAAAGTCCAGACATGGACGATCATTAGAGGAGGAAAAAAAAACTTTTAAATTGAATAGAAAATATATTTTTTTTCTTAATTTTTATTTTAAAAAAATGATTTAAATATCGTTTTATTATATTAATATTTTGATTTTGTAAAAGCTGTTAAATTTTCTCTGTATATATATATATATATATATATATATATATATAGATAGATGTTTTCATTTAACCTAGTCCTTTGCAATATAGCTGTTTTATAGGTTAATAACTTTTATGTAAACCATTTAAAGAATTTTTATTATTATTGTTATACATATACGCATAACGATATAAATTGTGATATTAACCATTATAGTTCACTCGTAAAATATTTCTAATTATTAGATAGTAATTTATTTAATAACAGCTTCTATAGCCAATTACCCTAGTTATTCAATAATTACATAATCGTTAATTAACGCGTTATGAAGTGCGAGTTGTACAGTTATAAATACAGAAATTGAGACGTTCTTTGATATATATATATATATTGCATAATATTGGGAAAATAATATTTTTCGAGAAAACAATTTATTATTTCAATTTAATTAACGTTAATTGTTTCAATATTTCACTTAAATGGATTAATTAATAATTTTCACTTTTTTTTTTTTTATTCTACATTCATGTAGTTAAAATAATTCAATTTTAATTTAATTTTATTTTAATTTTTTAAAATTTTATTTTTCTATTTGCAAAATATATCTTATGAAAACTCGATTTTAGAGAATATTATATAGGAATTTAAAATTTTAGCACATCCGGTTATTGTGTTTCAATATAATAATGTATAAAAAAAATAGCTACCGGGGACTGTAGAATCACATAAAATTTATATATAATATCGATATAGCATTTATTATTTTTAATATTTGCGCCCACAAACAGTTTATAAAGTATTATATTTTTCTCATGCGTTCGTAAAAGAAAATGTAACTTTGCACTATTTTTTATAACCTATTTTGTATGAAATGAATCGTATAAAATGAGGTTTATTGATGGAAATATATATATATATATATATATATATATATATATATATATATTCTGTTTATACAAATAATCTGCTTTATTATTCAAAAATATTTTACTAAATTGAATTAGTTAATTAATATGAAACTCAGTATATTATTAGTAAAGGGAACTTTTTAAAAAATGTATTTTTATTTATTTATTTATTAGTAATTGTATATTTTAATAATAATATAATAATTTAATATAATAATGTAATTAATATAAAATATATTTAATTATATAGTATTATTTATTTAACTAATTACAGTAAATTATAATTATTTTTGTTTTATTATTATGATTTGTTATAATCGATGATATTTTCAATTATGGTAGTTACAATTGTGACAATTATAAATTATTGTTTTTTTTTTCCTATTAATTTACGAAAAAATTAACTTTCGCAAAAAAAATCGTTTTTTGAAAAAAAAAAATGATTCCTTTTTTAAAAAATAATGAAATTTATCTGGAATTTTTTTTTTTTCTTAACATTCCACGTTTATGCATGCCCTGCTCTGAGTGCTCATAAAAGAAAAAAAATTGATAGAAGAATTTCCTTTAAGTTCACTTGCTCTCATATAAAATGTATCGTAGAGAATGTTTTGTGACTTAAAAAACAGATCACAGACTCTTTCCTTCGTTTTCCCAAGGGTAAATTGACTTCACGTAGAGAGAGATAGATAGAGATAGATAGATAGATAGATAGATAGAAAGAGAGAGAGGGGGAGAAACGTGTAACTCAATAAAATTTGGCCCATTACGTTTTACAATGTACTCGACTGGCATAATCACTAGAGTCTCGTTCACTCGAACTGTCTATTTTGTATTTAGTGTCTCCAAAGAGAGACAATGAACATTGCGGTACGTTCAAATCACGTTCCTGGGCATGAAGCAGTCAAATCACGTTGTAGGCCGATAAACGTAGCTGGAACGGCTAATGTCGTTTGTGGCTACAGGTTACCAGTACCCGGGAAAGGTGGTTTTCACTCCAACCAGGTTCATCGTGTTGGTTACAGCAGCAGTGACCGGATTCGCGAGGATGAACTAAATTCATCGAATTTTATCTTCAATACCAATGCACATGCTCGTCATGAGAAGCACTTACACGATACGATCAATTTCATTCAGAGAACAAAGAAAAAGTGCGAGAAAAATGTGTTCGACGCAAAAATTAAATTAGGTACATCCAATCTCAGTATATAACAAAAAAAGAAAATTTAATTTTTATTAAACAATTAAATTTTTACTAAAAAATATAATTTTTTTAATATAAAATTTCTAATTTACATTTATTTTCAATTAATAAACTATATTCTAACGCTTTCGATTTATTTTTGCATAATATACCATACTCTAAAGAAGATAAGGGATTTTAATATAAAATCAATAAAACTATAATTTATCTTTATGAGGAAAATTAAAAGGGCTGATTCTTTAAAAAAAAAAAAAAATGAAGCAAAAGGTATATATATTAATTTTTAATGGAGAGAAATAATTAAATTTTATTTAAAAAATTAATTTCTATTATTATTATGTAATAGTAGTAATAATTAATAATTAAATATGCTTGATTAAAATTTCAAAATTTTTAAAACTCTCATTTTGAAAATACATTTTTGATATATACATTAAATATTTAATCATAATATAAAATCTGATTTTATCAGACACACAAATATTGTAGATTGAATTTCCATTTCGAAGGGAAATCTAATTATAAAATATTTAAAAAGTAATGAAATTAAAAAAAAAAAAAAAAAAAAAAAAAAAATGCGAACAATATTTTTGCAGAGATATTTGAAAAGATTAATATCAATCACTCTCGCGAGTCAATAAAGTGTCATACAATAAAAGTCCCTCGCTGTCATAAAAAAAAAGAAAAATCCCGGAAATATATTAATGTTTGTTTTTTCTCCCCACTAATATGTATGAATATACAAAAGATGCTCGATTTAATTCATTTTTTTTATCGTGTTAAATTTGACTAAAATCGTTTTTTTACCATTCGAGTAGCATTTCTTTGATTTATAATTATAAAAAATATTATTAATTATTTGATTGAATAGTTAAATATATTTTTAATTATTTAATTGAACAAATGAACATTTTTTAAAAAAGATTTAAATTAATATTTGAAAATAATTTAAATTGATTCCAAATTTAAAATTAATTTCAATTATTAATTCAATTTTTATTTAATTTTTTTTTATTTATTCTATTAAGTAATTAAATGTACAGTATTTATTGCCCTCAGTCGGCAAGGTAGATTTCTGTGTCGGTATTCGTTCTATTGTCATTTTTCAGAAAACTGTTTTACCATCAGTCGGCAAAGTAGATTTCTGTGCCGGTAATTATTTCAAAATTTGTTTACCATCCGACGATAAGGTAGATTTCTGTGTCGGTAATTTATATATTTTCAATTTTTTTACCATCAGTCGGTATTTCAATTATTTGATTCCAAATAATTTAAATGATTTGATTACCTATATATAAAAAAATAATTTAAATTTCTTATCAATAGAAAAATTCAATGAAAACTAGATAAAACAAAAGTTTCCAGTGAAAATAAAAGAATTAAAAAATAAAAACCGATATTTTTTTTTTGCCTATTTTTGCATTATATGAAGAGCTTTTCCAAGTACTCGTTTGTTTACAGCAAATGGTATTGAAGTTAACCAAATAATGTTTTTTTAAACTCGAAATGAACGAAGCAAAAAGAAACAAAAAAAAAAAACGAAGAATATAGCCTCGTATCTTTTAATTAATAGTGCATTCGCGTTGCAAAGTTTGTTCTTCGCGGGTTCGCGTCGCCTGCAGTTTCTGGGGAAACAAATAAAGTGGAATAGGATAGTGTGGGTGGAAAAGAGGGGAGGGGATATATATTGGGTAGAAGTCGCAAAGAGTGAGAGAGAGAGAGAAAGAGAGAGAAGCTTGCCAGAATCGAGATAAATTATGAAAAGCGATTGTATACTTCGTTGTAGTATTATCTCCTCCCGATTTTCTCTCTACTCCTATATACACCCAACTTTTGATCATTCTTCTTTATTAGACATAAAATTATTATTCTTTCCTATGTGCGCAAGCTTGTAAGTCTAATGGCGAATATAATTCCTAGTACATGTAAGCCCGCGAGCAAGGATTTACAATGCTGATTTTATAGTGGAACTTTTCAACCAGCCAAATTGCAAAATAAAAAAAAAAATAATAATAATAAAAACGAGTCTTATATGGTTACATTTTTTTTTCTCATAGGAAAATATGTATTTTCGAGTACTCGAAAAGTTTCTGTTATTTTTGTTTGAAATTGCTTCTTCCTTTCCTTTATTTCAAAAAATTGCCCTCGGACAAAAATTTGCATTTTTGTAAAATTATTTTTGTACATTTTCTATTCTATTTATTTTAGAAAAATTTATTTTTTTTACGAGACTAAATATTTTATTATTAAATATATTTGGAATTGAAAATTTTTGCTCACAGTAAATGTTTATTTTTTTTTGTGTGTGTGTATAAATATAGGTAATATTAAAATGTAAAATATTGGCAAATTTTTTTCTTGGCAAATAGTAGAGGAAATTTCTTTTTTTTTTATTCAGAATATATGTGGAAAAATGTAACTTTGGTATATATATAGAAATATTCATAAAGACTGAACCTATAGCCTCTGGAATACTCAACATTGATTAAATTGGACATGCATTGAAAACAAAATTGAATGGTAGACCATCAGAAAAGGTACATTTTTTTAATTTACTGTTGTAATCGAACTACAGTTTCTTTTTTACACCGGGGAATATAACAATAACGTCAAAGTTATTCAAATTTTATTTCATTTACTTTCTCGTGTTCTTTTTTTTTAACAATTTTTGCCAGAAAATTCAGTACTCATTATTATTGAATAATTTTCCTTTTAGTTTCATGAAGTTTATGTATTTTTTTTAATGACAAAACAGAAAAACACAGAAATCTATCTTAACGACTGATGGCAAAAAAAAATGAAAATATTAAAAATTACCGATACAGAAATCTACCTTACCGACTGATGGTAAACAATTTTAACCGTGAAAATATAAAAAATTACCGATACAGAAATCTACCTTACCGACTGATGGTAAAAAAATTTGAACTGTGAAAATATAAAAAATTACCGATACAGAAATCTACCTTACTGATTGATGGTAAAACAATTTTTTTTGAAAAATGAAAATATATAAATTATCGACACAGGAATATACCTTACCGACTGATGGCAAAACAGTTTTTTTTTGAAAAATGAAAATATAAAAAATTACCGATATAGAAATCTACCTTGCCGACTGATGGTAAACAATTTTAACCGTGAAATTATAAAAAATTACCGATACAGAAATCTACCTTACCGACTGATAGTAAAACAGTTCTTTGAAAAATGAAAATATAAAAAATTACCGATACAGAAATCTACCTTACCGACTGATAGTAAAACAGTTCGTTGAAAAATGAAAATATAAAAAATTACCGATACAGAAATCTACCTTACCGACTGATGGTAAAAAATTTGAACCGTGAAAATATTGAGAATTACCAATACAGAAATCTACCTTAACGACTGATGGCAAAAAATTTGAACCGTGAAAAATATAAAAAATTACCGATACAGAAATCTACCTTACCGACTGATGGTTAAACAATTTTTTCGAAAAATAAAAATATATAAATTATCGACACATGAATCTACCTTACCGACTGATGGCAAAACAGTTTTTTGAAAAATGAAAATATAAAAATTACCGACACAGAAATCTACCTTACCGACCGATGGTAAAGAAGATTCCTGTGCCGGTAATTTTTTAATATTCTCATTTTTTGAAAAAAAACTGGTTTACCATCAGTCGGTAAGGCAGATTTCTATGTCAGTAATTTTTATATTTTCATTTTTTGAAAAAAATTGTTTTACCATCAGTCGGTATGGTAGAATTCTAGGTCGATAATTTTTTATATATATAATTTATTTTGTCCATTTTTTTGGTAATTTTTTTTAAATAAAAAATTTTTTTCATACTATTATAAATAAATACCTTTTCTCTGAGTTGAAATTTTGAGGCTAGGAAAAATGTTCTCCAATTTTTTTTTTTTTTTTTTTTGCATTGAAAATGCATTCGAGGGGGGAATAATTTAGAAAAAGTTGTATATGTATACCGAAAGGGTACAACCATGTACTATTCAATAGAAGTTGCTTGTCAAAAAAAAAAAGAAAAACAAAAAAAAAACTGTGTTTTTATTCGGCGTCCTATCAAGTTTAAGAAATTTACTACAAGCGTGGCGAGACGTGCACTGTATAAAAATTCACCCTCTCTTCATTCGCTATTCGTTGTTCACGAAGCACGTAAATATTATATTACTCGGCGACGAGTAAAAGCATATAGTTTTGGTCCCCATAGCGTTGGCGTTCTGTTTGCAGAAGATACGACTAAAGAATAATTGTAGACATTCTGCTCCTGGGACAATAGGTCTTGTAAATAAAATGACGAGGGGAATTCCTTTGTTCTAATTTTACTGCATGAATGGTGTGCAAATTAAAAAGAAACGCGAAACTGTAATTATTAAGTGAAAAAGGAAAAAAAAATATATACATATATATTTTTCCATCGCAATCGAGAAAAATAGAGAGAAAGATTTTTCTTTGTACTTTTCACTGAGAATTTAAAAAAAAAATCTCTGCTGGTAAAAATACTGATAAAAAAAAAAAATTATCGAAATAAAAAAATGAAAAAAGTGAATTTCGTATTTGTTAAAAATTGTTAGAATTAACGAAAAAAAAAAAGATTAGGTTTTTTTTTTTTGTTCGAATAACCTGTTGCTTTCTTGAGTTTATTTTGAAAATTAGTTTATGACACATAAATCTAGTATACATTTTACTTAGTATCGAGAATTCTATTGTGATTCTTCAATTGGAGAATGGTTATATAATAAAATAGGAAATTGCACTATAAACGCAGTTGATCAAATCTCTTAAATTATACGATATACAATAAAAGCCACTGTTGAGAATCTAGTGAACATAAATGTTAAAGTTTAATAGAATATTGCAGTTGACAGTTATAATTAATGAAACGGAGAATAATTCCTTTTTTAAAATTTTTTATTTCTATTTTGATATAATAATTTTTATTTTATTATTTCGCTTTAATTTGATAATTATTTTTTATTAGCATTTTATAAGTTGATAATTTTTGTTTATTACACGCTAATTTGATTTTTTTTTTATCATTTTGCATTAATTTGATAATAAATTTTTTTTTATTATCATTTCGCATTAATTCGATAATAATAATAATAATAATTTTTTTTTAAATCGATATTTTATTTTTCCTGTGCTCGATGATTTTATTTTTAATGTTGAATATAAAAATTGCATTTTTATTTTCTTTATTAAGTTAGAAATAAGACAGAAAGTGGATAACAGGAGAATTAAGATGGCGTGAAGTGAATGTGACATGCCATGAAATTAGAAAATTGTGGTCTTGTCTCTGAATCTCAGAAACTCAGAACAAGAAAATGCACAAGTTACAAAACTTTAATCTACTCGCGACTATATTCGGAAAGTAGGATATCGTAATTCTTCAAATTATCATATATTTAAATGATATATATAAATTTAAGGTGAATTTTCCTCTTTACGATTTTATTTAAATAATAATGAATCTGCCATGCAATAAAATAGTTTTCACATTTTTATTTTTTTTTTAAAACAATAAAATAAAAATAGGTAAATATAATTTTTTTTTTTGCCAATAAAATTATTTTTTAATAAATAAAATAATTTTTTTTTGGTTTTAAATTGAATTAAAAAAAAAAAATTGTAAATGATAAATAAAAAAATATAATATGTATAAATAGGTATTGATGCATATGAGGAAGATTTGAATCGTCGTCGAGAAAAGCTTCGAAAATTGATGCTCAATGAAGAAGAAATTTTAACTAAAGAAATCATCAAAATTGCTGAGGAGAGTAGAGAATTCTACCAAGAGAATTTAAAAAGTCGAATTGAAGAAGCTAAAAGACAGGAAGAAAATGCTAGATTATCTTTTATAAAGTCGAAGCGACATCAGCAGTTTCTCGATATGTGTCCAGAAGTAAGAGATTATTTTGCCAAGAAAACTATCGAAAATGTCAAACATTGTAATTTAATGCAAATAGAGGAGAATAATGCACAAAAAAATGAAGAGAAAATACTCAATTTAATGTGGCATAATTTAATGTTGAATAACGTGAGAATTATTTATATTTATATTATATAATAATAATGATAATTATTATAATAATACTTATGTAAAAAAAAAAATAGAAAATTATTTTTTTTTAACCATTATTTTTTTTTTTTTTTTGATAGATGAAAGGAATAAAATTACGTGAGGATGAGGAGGCAAAAAAGCGAGCTATCGCAATTTTCGATGTAGAGGCTACTTTGAGAAAGCAAATTGCTGGCAAAGAGGCGTTGATGTCCGAGGAACGAAAACGCGTTGAGAAAGAGCAATGCGAGAATGTTAGACAGCTTTGCGAGGATCTTCAAAAAGAGGAAGCATCACGATTCGAATGGGAGAGAAATAAAAAGGACAAGTTGAAAAGGGATCTGAAAGATCAATTGAAAATGGCACGAATGTGTCAGGCTGAGCGTGTCTCTAAGGAGGCAGCAATGGAACGCACGTTTCAAGATCTGATTGAAAAGGAGCTGGCAATGGTGAAAAGAGAAGAAAAACACTTATCAAACGATCTTCGAAACGAACAGTTGGCGTATTTAAAGAGTCTTCAGGTAAAAGAAAAAATATTTATTTAAACTTCACGTCAAAAAAAAATTGAAAACCAAAAATTTTTGACTTATAAAAAATCGAAAATAATTCGCTAATTTCAAGGTAGAAAAATTTTTTAAATTCTTATTTAGAAAAATATTTTTTCGACTTTAAATAATTTGCAAAAAAAATTTCACAACCGGTGATTTAATAGAATGGAGAATTAATTAGAAATAATATATATATATTTAGAGTCGCGTGAAATTAAATAGAAAAAAAAAAGTTTATGAAATAGAAAAGTTTTCAAAGAGGAAAAGTTGGCTCTCTCTTTATATATATATATGTAGACAATATAAGGGTGCTGATTACTCTTCACCTGGGTTTGAAACAAAGCTCTTTGAAAATTCTCAACGCCCTAACGCTTTCTATTCTAACTTGATACTTCACTTTAATGGGCGCAGAAAGCTTCGAATTCCAGCACCCGGCTGAGAAATTGAAAGTGATCTCATTCAGGTAACTTCCCACTAAACCTTTGTTGAAAGACAAGTTTCAAGTTTCAAGAATCGGTAATACATTTTACGGTGTGATTAAATTAACAGTGCAGTGTCTAATTTTATTAAAAACTTAGGAAACAGCTTCTCTCTATCTCTCTCTCTCCCTCTCTCTCTCTATAGATATATTAGATAAGAAAATCGTTATTGGGTACTTATAGAAAAAAATGTCTTTCTAAACTTTTTTTTTTTTTTTATTCCCTTTTTGTAGTACAAAAACATAAATAAGTTTTGAAAATCAATTGTTAGAATTTTCGTTTATTAGATTTTCATTGGATATAATTTTGCTAAACCGAATTTTATTTGCTCGAATTGTTATTTTTTTTTGCAAAAATTTTTATTAAACACATTTTCTATATATATATTTTTTTTAAATACAAGAACAATGAATTTCTTAAATGAGATATTGTTTTTCATTTATAATTCTCTCTGCATTTTTATAATAAATTTTCTTTGAAAGAAGAAATATATATTTTTTAAAAAACTTCTTCTTTCTGTTGATTTTATTTTTAAATTCTTTCTCAATTTCTTTTTTTTCATCTGTCTTTTGATTTCTCCTTTTTTTCACATCGCGTTGTTGTTTGTTGTTTGTTTACGGAGCGTGTGAATTGCAGTGAAACTAAAATGAAGTTGAAAGAAATTAATAAAAAAAAAAAAGAAAAAAAAGAAAGAAGTTAATAAAAATTGAAACTTTTTATAGTCTAGTTTTATTTGAATATATATATATATATATATTTTTTTTTTTCTGACTGTAAAAGGGAGTTTTCAATATTATTTCATTAATTGATTATTATTTAATCAAAAATTTTTCATTACTCCATAATTTTTCTGTCTGACTAAAACAAGGCGGTTCTACTTAAATCTATATAAAAGGACATTTCTGCACTTATACTTTCTCTGTTAGTCTTCTGTGAATTTTTGTCTGACTAAAAAGAGGGTTTACTACTTAAAAATTAAATAATTCTTTCATTAATAGCTTTTTCTTTTAATTTAAACATTTTTATTTTTACATAATTCTACTGTCTGTCTAGTTATTTTCTAGTTCAAGTCAATTTCTAGTTAATACCCAGTTAATTCCTAGTTATTTTCTGGTTCTAGTTAATTTCTAGTTAATTTCTAGTTAATTATTAGTTAAATCCTTGTTATTCTCTAGTTTTAGTTAATTTCTAGTTAATTCCCGGTTAATTCCTAGTTATTTTCTAGTTATAGTTTTAGTTTTTTACTAAATCTAGTTACTTTCTAGTTAATTCCTAGATAAATCCTAGTTATTTTCTAGTTAATTCACAGTTAATTTCTAGTTCTAGTTAATTTATAGTTAATTGCCAGTTTATTCCTAGTTTATTCCTAGTTATTTTTTGGTTCTAGTTATTTTCTAGTTAATTCACAGTTAATTCCTAGTTATTTCCTAGTTCTAGTTAATTTCTAGATAAATCCTAGTTATTTTCTAGTTAATTCACAGTTAATTTTTAGTTATTTTCAAGTTCTAGTTAATTTCTAGTTAATTGCCAGTTTATTCCTAGTTCTTTTCTAGTTCTAGTTTTAGTTTTTTACTAATTGTAGTTACTTTCTAGTTAATTCCTAGTTAAATCCTAATTATTTTCTAGTTCTAGTTAATTTCTGGTTCTAGTTAATTTCTAGTTCTAGTTAATTTCTAGTTCTAGTTAATTTCTAGTTAATTGACAGTTTATTCCTAGTTATTTTCTGGTTTTAGTTAATTTCTAGTTAATCGCCAGTTAATTCCTAGTTATTTTTAAGTTCTAGTTAATTTCTTGGTAACTCCCAGTTAATTCCTAGTTATTTTCTAGTTCTAGTTTTAGTTTTTCACTAATTCTAGTTACTTTCTAGTTAATTCCTAGTTAAATCCTAATTATTTTCTAGTTCTAGTTATTTTCTAGTTCTAGTTAATTTCTAGTTAATTCCTAGTTAATTGACAGTTTATTCCTAGTTATTTTCTGGTTTTAGTTAATCTCTAGTTAATCGCCAGTTAATTCCTAGTTATTTTTAAGTTCTAGTTAATTTCTTGGTAACTCCCAGTTAATTTCTAGTTATTTTCTAGTTCTAGTTTTAGTTTTTCACTAATTCTAGTTACTTTCTAGTTAATTCCTAGTTAAATCCAAATTATTTTCTAATTCTAGTTATTTTCTAGTTAATTCTCAGTTAATTTCTAGTTATTTTCTAGTTCTAGTTAATTTATAGTTAATTGACAGTTAATTCCTAGTTATTTTTAAGTTCTAGTTAATTTCTAGGTAACTCCCAGTTAATTCCTAGTTATTTTCTAGTTCTAGTTAATTTCTATTTCTAGTTAATTTCTAGTTGATTTCCAGTTAATTCCTAGTTATTTTTTGGTTCTAGTTATTTTCTAGTTAATTCACAGTTAATTCCTAGTTATTTCCTAGTTCTAGTTAATTTCTAGATAAATCCTAGTTATTTTCTAGTTAATTCACAGTTAATTTTTAGTTATTTTCAAGTTCTAGTTAATTTCTAGTTAATTGCCAGTTTATTCCTAGTTCTTTTCTAGTTCTAGTTTTAGGTTTTTACTAATTGTAGTTACTTTCTAGTTAATTCCTAGTTAAATCCTAATTATTTTCTAGTTCTAGTTAATTTCTGGTTCTAGTTAATTTCTAGTTCTAGTTAATTTCTAGTTCTAGTTAATTTCTAGTTCTAGTTAATTTCTAGTTCTAGTTAATTTCTAGTTAATTGACAGTTTATTCCTAGTTATTTTCTGGTTTTAGTTAATTTCTAGTTAATCGCCAGTTAATTCCTAGTTATTTTTAAGTTCTAGTTAATTTCTTGGTAACTCCCAGTTAATTCCTAGTTATTTTCTAGTTCTAGTTTTAGTTTTTCACTAATTCTAGTTACTTTCTAGTTAATTCCTAGTTAAATCCTAATTATTTTCTAGTTCTAGTTAATTTCTAGTTCTAGTTAATTTCTAGTTAATTCCTAGTTAATTGACAGTTTATTCCTAGTTATTTTCTGGTTTTAGTTAATCTCTAGTTAATCGCCAGTTAATTCCTAGTTATTTTTAAGTTCTAGTTAATTTCTTGGTAACTCCCAGTTAATTTCTAGTTATTTTCTAGTTCTAGTTTTAGTTTTTCACTAATTCTAGTTACTTTCTAGTTAATTCCTAGTTAAATCCAAATTATTTTCTAATTCTAGTTATTTTCTAGTTAATTCTCAGTTAATTTCTAGTTATTTTCTAGTTCTAGTTAATTTCTATTTCTAGTTAATTTCTAGTTGATTTTCAGTTAATTCCTAGTTATTTTCTAGTTCTAGTTTCAGTTTTTTATTAATTCTAGTTAATTCTAGTTAAATCCCAGTTATTTTCTAGTTAATTCTCATTTAATTACTAGTTATATTTTATTTCTAGTTAATTTCTAGTTAATTTCTAGTTATTTTCTAGTTATTTTCTATACTTCTAGTAAATTGCTAATTCTGTCTTGTTTTATTGACTTAATTCGATTGATTTTTTTAATACCCGATTCCATGGGATCTTTCCACTTGAGAATTACATTCGCGTTCCCCTTATAGATTTATTTCTTTCTAATATATAATTATAGTTTGTCTATATAGAATATATAACCGCACTGCGTCTGTTTCGCGTAAATTTTTCTACTTGAAATTTTCATCTTCTCCCTTTACTAGGATTTATTTTGTCGAACCGTATATATATATATATATAAAATGGTATTTTCACTTAAAATTTTTATTTCACATTATTCTTACTTGGATTTATTTGTCTGACTATAGAAGGATTTTTCCACTTAGAAAACACATATCGTTCCTCGTACGCGGGTAAGCGTGTGAATTGCAGTAAAACTGCGCGAAAGAAGAGAGCAAAGAGTAATAAAAAAAACAAAAAAAAAAAAAAAATAAATAAAACGTGAAATACAAGAGAGGGGTTTGAAAAAAGGAAGTAAATAAAAATCGTATTCTTCTTTTTTTTTCAATGCGCAGGAATTCCGGGAGCAGGAAACAAGACGAAATGCCGAGGTTGAGGAAATTGTTGGTAAGTACGAGAAGGATGCTGAGGAGATGAGACGTCGTGCAATGAAGAAACGAGACGAGACTCGTGCTCGTGAACTTCAAAAAGTCCTTGATATACGTAGAAAACAGTTGGAGGAGAAGGAAGAAATTAAAGTAAACGAAAAGCAACGAATCGATCGTGAACGTGATGTTTTCATGAAACAGAATGAGAACGACGCTAAGCTGATGGATTACGATCGAAAATGTAAGAAGGTGGCTGCATTACGCTACCAAAAGGATCTCATCGATCAACAATTTTATATAAAAAATTTGAGACAACGCGAATCTGAAGAAGAGAAAAATAAATTTAAAAAATATATTCAACAAAAGGAACAAGAATATAAAAAACTCAAGGAAAATTTATTCAACTAAAATTGTATTTTTATCAATTCTTTTTCCTATACACATAAATTCCAATTAAAAAAATTATATTTAATCGAAATTTAATTAATAACAAAATTATTTCCATTATTATCTTTTTTTTTTTTAATTAACATATATATGAAATTCTATATACCTGCATATAAGGGAAAATTATTTGATAAAGTGCAATTTGTGTGATTTTCCAATTCGTATGTATTTATTAATAAAAGTCCATAGCAATTTTCGTGTTTATTTTCTGATTTCAATGAATCATGTATTTCTTTCTTTCTTTTTTTTTTGGTTGAAGCATATAATGGGGCTTATTTTGCTTTTACTACAATTCATTCATTTTCTAGAGAATAATTGTCGAGTGCTTTTATATTTTGAATTCTATTTCAAATGCAGAATGTGAACAGTCAACCACAGATGAAACATTGACCTGAATTATGCGTGACAAAAGTTGACAATAAATAATTGATTTTTTTTTCTCGCTTATTCATCATATTTTATATTTATATGAAAATTGAAATTCATTGTTATATTTGACCTATATTTTTGGGGACATAATGATTTTTGTTTTTGTGTATAGAATAATACGGTACTGATTATTATTATTATTATTATTATTATTATACATTGACAAAAAAAAAGAAATTTTTATTTGATTTATTGATTACTTGATTATTATTAAATAAATATTTATTTGAAATGCAGAAATTAGTTTATTTAATTCAATTATTTGGTTTTAAAAATTATTTGATTCAAGTAAATATTTAATTGATAATAGTCGATTATTTGAATTAAATAATTTTTTTTATAACATATTTTTTAATAACAATATAACAATAACAATAACAATAACAATAACAATAACAATAACAATAACAACAACAATATTAAATAACAATAATAACAAAAACAATAACTATATTAAAAATGATATTTATTTGATTTTTTTAAATTATTTTTTTTATTTTTTCACATTTATTTAAATATTTGTTATGTGTGCCTTAATATTGTCTTATTTGATGGATTTTTGTACTAAAAAATGTTTGTTTTTTTCTTGTTTCAGGTATGGATTTTTTTTACCTTACTTCAATGACTTTTATTAGGTATGATTTTATTTAATTTTATTTTTCTCACTTTGCCCTCTGGAAATAGTAATTAATTTAAAAATAAAATTTTTTTTCAAATCCAAATTTTTATGCAACTCTTAAAAAAAAAAAATTCTTTCCTGATTAATTCGAATAAATTCCGTTTCATTCCAAAAGCATAATTTTAATTCTTTTCTATTTTTTTTAAATAATAATTTTAATAAATTTATTGAAATTATTAGTATTATAATTTTATTATTATTAAAATTTATTTATTAATTAGTGAATAATTTTTTAAAATAATTTTCTATTTATTTTTTTTTCTATTCTATTATTCAACTTAATAATTGAAAAAAATGTTTTGTCAATATAAATATTTAAAAAAACAGAAAAAAAATCAATTGACCAAAAATAAATTCATTAAATTTGAAAAAAAAGGAAAAAAGAGCCCAAAAAACTTGTTCCTTGCCTATGAATAAATAAAAATAAAAAATAAATTCACAGACCGATGTTATTTTTAGTGTTTTGAAAGGGGTTAAGTAGTTTTAAAACGAGAGAGAGATGCATTGGAAGCGCATTCGACTGTTTTTCCAAAGCCGGGGCTAAACCGTCATTTGGTCTCGCTCTCATGCCATATAAAAATAAAAGGGGTGGAAGGAGTTAAAGGGATGAAGGGGTGAAGGGGGAGGGGAATTCTAGAGGCGAGCTTCCAAGTGAAATCGATCCCTTTTTTGTCACTCGAATGCCAACTGCAATCCTACTTCGTGATTCCCAAGTATATTGTCGCGCGCGCGCCACGGTGAAACTATAATATTTCATTTTCAACTTTTCTCCAATTGTCAAAAGGTTGGTTTCACTTTGTTTTTTTTTTCTTTTTTTTTTTTTTTTGAGGAACTTGGTTTTCCACTCTCGTGATAAAAATTTACTTTCAAATCAACTGGAACACCCTTTTGACCGTGTCTCATTCATCCATTTTTAATATTGTTCTATTTCAATTTTTATATATATTTATGAGAATTATTATAATGGAGAAAAAAAATTTATTTGACTATTTTATTAAATAAATTTTCATTTGGAAAAAAAATTATAGCAAACTTTGAAAAATAGAAGCATTTATTATTTTTTTCACTCTAGACAAAAAAAGTTACTAATTTATGTTCAATCAGTTTTTTTCCGAATCAAAAAGAAATTCTTTCCAGTTCATTACAAATAATTCCAAAAGTTAATTTTGGTTTTTTCTTTCATTCCAAAACGATTCGTTTTATTTAAATTAATTAAAATTATTTTTTTTCTTTTTCCTTTTTGTTCGAAACTAAATTTTAATTCTCTAATTTTAGTTCCGAAATTTGTTTTCAAACTAATCTTCCTTTTTTTTTAAAAAAATCCCTTTTCATGGATGTTTAACTCTTAAAAGTTTATTGAATGATAAATAGAGTGAGCATACACAAATTGTAACCTAATTTTAAGGTTGAAATTCACGAGCATTGCCAACCGCAGAATGAACGTACGAAATATACTTTTGAAAAGCCCTTGAGAATATCTTGAAGGAAAATCTTAAGATTATTCACTGGGGCAATCCAGTCCAGTCTTATTCCAAATGGAATACTCGCTGAGATAAGCTGAGCTGTCTCGTGGATGTTCAGTACGTAGATATCATGCGGCATTAACGAACCCACCCAAGAATGTCCTAAGTACTTTGCCTCGATTTTCGTAAAATCTCTTAAGAGAGAGAGAGAGAGAGAGAGAGAGCGAGAACTATAACTCCCCGAGAGTTAGCGGAAACAAAGTCTAAAGGTGGGTTCGTCGCAAGAAAAGGATCAATTCAGGTCAACAAGGCCAAAAAAAAAAAAAAAGATAGCGAGAAAGAAAACCAAAAGAAATCCTCCCACGACTGCATTCAGATTAGCGGTGAAAAACTTCCTTTTGATATCGCGGGTAGTAATTTCAAGCAGATGAACTTAAACAAAATTATTACGTACTCAAAAAATTGTTTTCGTTTGTTTTTTTAAATGTAATTTCAAAAAATTATTGGATCTTTCAAAATTAGTAACCACAGTTAAATATTTTGCTATGACAACGAAAAAATTTACTATGATAAACAATATCAGTGTTAATTTTTCAAAAATTTACTGTCACAGCAAACTTTTTAGACCCCATAGCAAAATTTGTTTGTTGTCCCTATATCAGTTAAGGTAATTTGCTGTGACAGCAAATAGTTCGCTGCCACAGCAAATTTTTTCTATGCTTGCAACGGTTGTCAAACGATAATTATAGAAATGGTTGCTACACGGATAGAAAAAGTTTGCTGTGGCAGCGAACTATTTGCTGTCATAGCAAATTACGTTAGCTAATAGCATGAACTGTTCGGAATAATTAATTACTATACTATATAATGTAGTTTCAAAAAAATTACAATTTTACCAAACACGAAAAAAAAGGAATTGCTTACAGATGATGACTGAGGTTTGCTATCAGATCTATCAAAATTAGTAACCACAGCTAAATATTTTGCTATGACAACGAAAACATTTGCTATAGTAAACACTATCAGTGTTAATTTTTCAAAAATTTACTGTCACAGCAAAACTTTTTTGACCCCACAGCAAAATTTGTTCGCTGTCCCTATATTAGCTAACGTAATTTGATGCGACAGCAAATTATTCGCTGCCACAGCAAATTTTGTCTATGATTGCAACGGTTGTCAGACGATTAATATAGAAGCGGTTGCTACTCGGATAGAAAAATTTTGCTGTGGCAGCGAACTATTTGCTGTCACAGCAAATTACGTTATCTAATAGTATCAACTATTCGGAATAAATAATTACTATAATATATAATGTATTTTCAAAAAAAATGACAATTTTTTCAAACACGGAAAAAAGGAATTGCTGTTAAATGATAACTGATGTTTGTTATCGGATCCATCAAAATTAGTAACGACAGCTAAATATTTTGCTATGACAACGAAAAAATTTGCTATGATAAACAATATCAGTGTTAATTTTTCAAAAATTTACTGTCACAGCAAACTTTTTTGACCCCACAGCAAAGTTTATTCGCTGTCCCTATATTAGATAACCTAATTTGCTGTGACAGCAAACAGTTCGCTGCAACGGTAAACTTTTTCTATGCTTGCAACGGTTGTCAAACGATTAATATAGAAACCGTTGCTACACGGATAAAAAAAAGTTTTCTGTGGCAGCGAACTATTTGCTGTCACAGCAAATTACGTTAGCTAATAGCATCAACTATTCGGAATAATTAATTACTATTTAAATGTAGTTTCAAAAAAATGAAAATTTTTCCAAACACGGAAAAAAAGGAATTGCTTACAGATGATAACTGATGTTTTTTATCGGATCTATCAAAATTAGTAACCACAGTTAAATTTTTTGCTATGAAAACGAAAAAGTTTGCCATGATAAACAATGTCAGTGTTAATTTTTAAAAATTTACCAAACTTTTTTGACCCCACAGCAAAATAGTTTTGCTGTACTTATATTCGCTAACGTAATTTGCTGAGACAGCAAATAGTTCGCTGCCACAGTAAACTTTTTCCATCTGTATAGCAATCGTTTCTATACTAATCGTTTGACAACCGTTGCACGCTTAAAAAAAAATATCCTGTAGCAGCGAATTATTTGCTGTCACATCAAATTACGTTAGCTAATACAGAGACAGCGAACAAATTTGCTTGTGGGGTCAAAAAAGTTTTGCTGTGACAGTAAATTTAAAAAAAATTAAAACTGATATTTATCACAGTAAACTTTTTTGTTGTCATAGCAAAAAATTTAGCTGTGGTTACTAATTTTAATAGATCCGATAGCAAACATCAGTTATCATTGGACAGCAATTCCTTTTTTTTCGTGTATGAAAACGGTTGTTATGGTAACGGTTGCTGTGGTAACAAAAATGAAAGTAAAGAACAATTTTTCTTTTCTATTAAATGAAAATGTTTTTTCTAAGATTTTCTTTTGCTGATAAATCTTTAAAGTGATGTGTCAGCTTGTATTTCATTAGTTTATAGCTTCGAAAACCAAGTAATGTATATATATATATACAGAGCGAAAGTTTCAACTTTGGTAGGCATATCGCGTGACTAGTTGTCCGACCAAAACGTTCTTGCCACCGGCTCTGAGATGCTTTATATACCCTGTAATTAATTATTCCGAATAGTTGAAGCGAGTTAAATACCGGAAACAACAGACAAGTGACAA